TGTTCTAGTTATTCACCAGAGTAATAGTTAAGAGTTGACCAGCTAATTGAAATTTAAAAAAAAATTATCAGTAAACAAAATTTAGTTCGCTTGCTGTAAGACAAGTTTGTTATTTAAACATAGTGTCTCTATTTCTTTATTGTGTACTAATTTCATGTTTTGTACTTCTGAAAATATACTAATCAAAAGTCACAATAATTTGAATGAATTACTGAACATCTGAAAATATTTACTGACGAATTTCAAAGAAAACTTGTCGATTTTGAATTCGCCTATGCTATTTTTCTTTTTTCAAAAACTGATGTGGCTAAGTAATATCGATTTACCCTTGCTCCGTTCGTATTTTAGTAAGTTTTTTTTCTTCTTTTATCAATGAATGTTAATTTATAAGAAACTAATGCTGATATATATATTTATTACATTAGTTGCAATGAATTACATTGATTTCCCATTGTAATAAAAACCGATAATTTCACATGTGGAATAAACGTGGTTATTTCACTCCTCTGACGTCATACAACAATAGGCGTTGTCAAGACGTCGATAACGTCGGATCAAAACAAATTGTGAATGCGTAGAAAAAGATATAGTTCCTTACATTTTCTACTTTAATTTCATTAAAAGCCATTTGCCAATGTAATAAAAAGAATAATTAATCAAAGAATTCAAATATCGAAAAATATTCAACTCGTGACCGAACAACACTGATAATTAACTCATGCGCTACGCGCATTCGTGAATTAATGTGTTGTTCGGTCACTCGTTGAATATTTTTCTCTATTTGAATTCTTCGATTAGTTATTCTATAAATATATATATATATATATATATGCATTATAATTTATCACTGTGATGTGGATTTATTTTGTGTTTCAGTTCATTTTAAGGAAAATATGACGATAATTATAACGTATAATACATATATTTTTCAGTATTTCATTTCCTTCATATAGTATACCATGTCAATCGCCATCACAGGATTGATTGTATGCTTTCTTTAATTAAAACAAAATGATCTGGATTCACGTCCTAGAAATAAATACCAATGATGTATCCTCAGAATGTATCACTGCTAAAGCTCTTTAAAACGGGGAAACAACAATCATTTATTCACATGAACCAAATTTATGCATTGGAATCCCATTTGGTTATGTTTCTAGATTATCCAAGACAATGTTCTTCCTAACATTTGAATGGCTGTGAGCTACATTTACGCTTGGCAGGTTAATCTTGAGCTTTGCATATACATTACCACTACATTTTTTCATACTATTTGTCAAGCGGGAATGTTTGTCTTACATTTTTTTCAATTAAAACATAGGATATAAAATACAAGTTCCTCGGACATTTAGTTCACCAAAAAATCTATATAAAGATGTCTTAATGAATGTTTGAGTACATCATGCGTGAAATATGAACTTGTATGTTTAAATGCAAAATCAAAGCTGTAATTCTCTACATTTTTGTGGTTGGTAATATTCTGGTTGAAAAAAACAAAAATGTGGTTAAAATCATGAACGAACGGCTTATTTTCGTCATTAATATTCATATGTGTCTATGTGACGGTAGAATACCTCTGAGTGGTTTGTGGTTTTAGGCTTGACAGTCTGTTGGATGAAGGCAAAAATAAGTCTGCTGATGAACCGTTCTAGTGAAATTTTAGTTTAAGGTATAATATAGAAGGCATTAGAAGAACGTGATCATTATAAGTTGGGACTCGGTACCAGAAGTACTTTGATAGTTTAAAAGGTGAATTATCCGTTCCATTTATCAGGATAGGTTTTACAAGAAAAATCTGAACTATATTCCAGGACTTCTAGTCATTGACTTATAGATTTCTATATTAGTTCAATACTGTATACTGAAAAAATTACCCCCTTACAAGAAACATAATAAAACAACTAAAATGTTGTATGCTCGAATGTTGTAATACAATTCAACACATTTATGATGTATTATATAAAACCTAAATAACTTGCAAATTTTATTTTTGTTTACTCTTAAAAAAAATCTGAGACCCAATTTAAATAAAATATCCCTCTGACAGTTCTTGTGTTCCTCGGCCAGTTTCACAGTGTCAACAATGTACATTCATAAGTCTATAATATCTAATTATTTTCTCAACTAACTGATGAGTACACGATAGTTACTGTACACTTAAACACCTTTACTGAAAAGGTATAAATATACATGTACGTTTGAAAATGTAAGCTAGTTCTGGCTAACCAGCTTTGTTCTTCACACGGTGGTCAATTTCACAGGAAAGATATCTATTTACTACTATCGCTGCCACAATAATAATTTGTTATATTTAGGCTTTGTCATTTTTTTTTTAAATCATAGTAAGTGAAAATTTATATTAAACATTGCATTTTAAGTGTCAGACTTCATGAAGTTATTTTAAAGCTTGATTTGAGTGCATGTTTAAATTATTTGAATTATTTCACTCCTCTGGACTTTAGGTGAAGAAAAACGTTTTATTCCCAAAATTTAAACCAAAAGGTTTTGTCTCGCCTGCGACGAAAGTCTCAGAATGCGAGACATAGGGATTACAATCCTGCGGCGACGGCGTAAACTATTGGTTTAAAGCTTTATATTTCAGAAGATAGAAGACCTGGATGCTTCATACCTTGTATACAGATACCTTATGTTACGAAGTTTTCGTCTGTCATATGTCCATTGTCCTTGACCTCATTTTTATGGTTCAGTGACTTCTTGAAAAAAAAAAACAGTTTTTTGTCAAGTGAAATACTCACTTGTTATGAGTAATAAGATAAGTATATTTGTTATATGGGTTTCTTTTCTTCATGTCCGCCAGGTAGGGTTCACCGGACCTCGACCTCATTTCATGGATCAGTGATCAAAGTTAAAGATACGTGGTCAAGTCCTTATATCAGATACTATGAGCATGAGGTCATTGGACAATGTTTAGTTTTATGGTTTGGTCTATTTCTTAGATATTATAAGCAATAGGGAAATTATAGTTGGCGCATAGAATGATTGCAAGGTGTACATGTCTGTCTGGCAGAGTTCATTTGACCTTGACCTCAATTTTCATGGTTCATTGGTCAACGATAAGAAATTGTGGTTTATTTTGTTTCTCAGGTACTATTAGCGATATAACCACTTGATTTGGTGTATACAATAATTGTAAGGTGTACATGTCTGCATGGTTCATCTGACCGTGACCTCATTTTGACAGAACATTGATAATGTCAAGTTTATGTGATACTTGTAGTAAAACCTTTATTTTACAGACTTTCAACATGAATTCAATTCATCTATCCATCCTCTTATTTTTCTTTTTTTATTCCATACAATCAGCATGTAAAAAAATCACACCAACAGTAACCAATCAAATAAAAAACAAATAACAATAACAAAAACCCAAATAAAACCCCGCAATACTGTAACGTTTATAACACACAAAAGTTGTCGCTGATAATAGAAATGGTCACAATAAACTTTGAAATTTGAATTTCCTTTTTTGTTTCATTCTGCCGTGATGCCTCAACGGAACTGAGATGTAGGATGAGCTGAGCTATAATTATGTCAGTAGTCGTTGTTTTTAAAGTCCTTCAATCTTCACAAAATATTTTATTTTAATGTATGTTTTTGAGGTTCTTGCAACATCATTTCATGTTTTTGATTATTTTATTAAAATGTGGATGCCCAATGATGACTCAAATTAGAAATTTTGAGATGATTTGACATCATATCCCATAATCTAAATACATCAACAGAAAAGAAACTTAAAACTTAAAACGAACACCAAAATTCTGTCAAAAGGGTATCTATGTATTGTCTTTCAAAATAAATGATAAATTCTCTTGTTTCCAGTTTTCTAATGAAAATTTTTTACAAAAAACGTCCGTCAATACTCTAACATAATCTTTAATTTATGTGCATTTGTGGAATGTAAATCGTAAAATGTGAAATGTAAAATGTAAAAAAATCCTCATTTTCATGTATAATATTAAGACTCTTTAATAATCTTATACCACTTACTTTCGTCTACTTGGTGAATTAAACGGAAGCATGGGAGTATGGTCATAGTTCTGAAAGCCTTTCTATTGGTTTTTACCTTCATATGAAAGAAATTCTTTATATATTTTGAATTTAGATTTTTGCTTGATTTCCATTTATGCAATGTTTTTCTTTGAAACGGCTGATGCTCTCTTCATTTTAAGATTGTAACTTTGAGGGAACGATGGCATCTATTTATATCTTTGGATATAGATTGTAAGGTAAAACATTGAATTTCCTTTTCTGTTTGGTTGATTTATTTAAGCTTTTAGAAAAGAAGGTTAATGGTATATCTAAGAGACTAAACTCCAAACAAAGATTTAATGGTTAAATCAGTTAACACATTTGAAATTAAACAATACGTACTACAGCAGATGGGCAGTTTAGTTTACTTACCTGTTTAGTGTTTGCATTAGAATAATTATATGGACAATTTTCTTTAAACAAAGCACCTGGTTTCTGTTACGTCCACTTAAAGCTGTAAACATCCGATAAACAAAGTGGTCTAATTAAATGATTGTGGCTGAAATAATCTGATAAAAACAGAAGGGTCTGGCCACTTGAATTTTACGTCATTTGTGGTTTAAAATTAACCTGGTAATGACGTTGTCGGAAGTCTTGTGATCAAATCTAATTAGGAAATTATACATTGACCTAATTTGTTATACCTGAATCAGCTGATTTGTCAAGGTGTTCATAAGAGTCTGGCATGTAACGAAATTTCTTCATCTTTTGATGTTGTTTTTATAAAGTTAACAGTCTAGTTTTGTTTTAATTTACTTAGTTCTTTGTACAATTGGATAGAGCGAAAAACATCCTCTTGTAGTACCACTCACGGACTTGTTAAATTGCGTAATATGCCCCCAAAGGAGAAATATCTATCTATCAAGTATAATGTAATTTGGCTTTTTTTCATTTGCTTCATATAAAAACTGAAAAAAAATGTAACTTGTGTCATTCTTTTCCGTTAACAGAAAACAGCAACACCATCAAAGGGCTATGGAAAACGAGGCCGTCCAAGGGTAGGTACACTACTGTTTTTTTTATTATATTTAACTTTGCAGAGCTCTTATTAGCTATGAATGCAGTGTCAAAATTGTTTTCCCAGCGAATCGAAGCGTATTTACACAGATATCTGTTAAGTTTAGGGAGGAGGCACTCCTCACTCCTACTGCAAGGAATCAAAAATCCATCTGTAGTTTATCTCAACATAAAGTGCCTTGCTGGAGAGTAAAGAAATGCTTTTGCAGTCGAAATTTGCTACGCGATATCTTATCGTAGATGTTAATGTTAATGGTGGTAAAATAAATTTTTGGATAAGGCATTGGTTATTGAGAGTTGTCTCATTGGCACTCATACCACATCTTCTTATATCTATTTTCTAAATTTTGTTAAATTAATTATTTGTAAAATTTACCATTTACGGTAAAGTTGGTATAGAAAATTAAAAAAAAAATCTCCCTAAGAAAAGAGGCCAATGCAGAATAAATTAGATCCTCACAAATGTATCTCGTGTCAGAATAAATATCATAGTAGAATATTACGTTACTGGTACTAAAATCATCTTGTTATAATATTTTATATTATTAGCCCTTATTATGCATTGATGCCAAGTGAGCGAAAAAAGCTTCTTGAAGTATCATGTTTGTCTAACCCAAGAGTAAAGTTGTTTTTTTTCGTTTACTTACATTTGCTTGACATAGTGACTGGAAAGTATTATTGCAAAGATCAAGCTATCATAATCTGATTTTTTCTGTCTATATTATTAAGCCTTCGACAAGATTTGCAATCGTGATATTGTATTAGTAAAAGTAAAATTCAGAGATATAAGTTGTTTACTATGTATCAAAAGAGGTTTTCTTAAAGTTTGATATCAAATTAAGTTTCATATGTTTAAAAGACTAAACAGCAATAAAAGTAATGTAATACTAGAGACATTTTCTAACATCGACCTTACAGTATTGTTCATATGCAATTTTCTGTATTATTGTAGAAAGATTCAAGCAGTCCAACAAAAGCAGTAAGTACAGCATTAGAACTACAACGTCTTTCAGAGAATTCAACTCCGACATTCAGTATATACACCCATATACATGTATTCGAGATTATGAGTAGAATGCGTTACATACGTCGTATAAACAGACTCTTCATTATAACGAAACTAAAATATCTTTGTTGTCCTTCAACACTATGGCCCCAACAAACAGAAAATGCATCATAATAATTACAGTACATTTCGTACGTAGAATGTGGACGATATTTCGTTTTTAACAGCTTATTAAGTTTACATCAAATTACATAAAATCTGAACTTTGATCACTAACCTTTTACCATGAAATATAGGTAAAACATGAATACAAATGGCTTGAGTGTATACGCATACGAGACCGCCAGCAAGCAACACAAAACTACATTTAAAAGACATCTACATGATTACCAGATCCTATTAGATCTATTTATGTACACAAAACACGTGTTTCTGGAATTTAACCTTCATGAAATATTCTGGAATTTAACCTTCATGTGGTATGCTGGAATTTTAACCTTCATGAGGTATGTTGGAATTTAACCTTTATGAGGTATGCTGGAATTTTAACCTTCATGAGGTATGTTGGAATTTAACCTTCATGAGGTATGATGGAATTTAACCTTCATGAGGTTTGCTAAAATTTAACCTTCATGAGGTATGCTTGAATTTAACCTTCATGAGGTATACTGGAATTTAACGTTCATGGGGTATGCTGGAGACTAAAAGTTTGGACGTTGGAGAGTACAAATACCAAAAGCGTCTTAACAAAATAGCTAAAGTCACCTAAGGTCAACTTTCCCTTCTGTAGTGACAACCTTAGCTTTAGCACAATGAAGCGATCCTTCAATTGATTTATTTACCAGCCTTTACACTCTTAGGTTTATAAAAAAAGTTGATTAGACTAAAACATGTACACTTGAAGCAGTCGAATGTTTTTATTATTTATTTTCTATGTCATTGCATTACAGGTCATTTATTCTATTACAGACATTTCTATGATCTTTCTTGACCTTTTGACCACTTTTATATTCACTTTCTTGAAAAGACACAATAGTGTTATTTTCAATACCATAAATACATAGCGAAGTCATTGAAATTCTTGAACAAATCAGCTTGTTACAAATCATATGTTTTTATTTAAACGCACTTTCCCAGGGATTATTTAAACATTTTTTGAGGATAAAAACAACATTTAAGTAAAGATTATAATCAATCTAGGACACGAAGTACTATACATGTCTTTTTCATTCCAAATAGTTGATTTAAATTGAACAATTGATAACCGGAAATGGGGAAGCCACAGACACTATTTATATAGATTTAAATACAATATTCACCTATTTTAAGTTCAAGTGAAACTATTTTAATACGATAACTGTTATCTCAGTTAGGCTGAATAAAGAATTCATAGAAATACACTATGTTTGAAAATGCTATTTTGAATTGATTATCTGATTACAGATTAGCCGTGTGGTGGTTCTCGTAAAACGAGTGTATTTTGACCGAATTTGTTTGACAGATGTATTGTCGAGTTTGTTTCACATGGATGTTTTCGTTTGATGGAAACTCATTCATGTTTACCCCGAGAGTAGTTAAATTTACGTATTCTTTCAGTTGTATTTTTAAACGTGGTACACTCTACATTTATATAGGAACGAATTCACCTAAATTGTCTTTTTTTGTAAGGACATTGTAGGAAAGAAAACTTGAAGGTATAACTCCCTTGTAATGTGTTTATAAATAGTTGATCGCCTTCATTCGTTTGATTAATTAGTCTACAACGCCTGGCGGATCTTGACTTTCCATATGAGACAGAGGGTCCCAGTCAAAAATAAAGTTTTTTTTAATGGGGGACCTATGCTTTTAGATAATGAAAAAAAAAAATGGGGTCACCGTACTTGTTTTCTTGCTACATATTAAAATAGGTAAATTCACAACACACTCTATTGTAAAAATTACTTTATCTGAGTTATCTCCCATTATACGGCAAAGTTGAAAAAAATGAATCACACAAAAATGTTGTGTTTTTTTTTTAGAAAATTCAGCCATAAATATGATAAAACACATAATTTTCTATATAAATATGAAAAGTCTGACACATGAATTACATACTACTCTCAAAATTTGCACATTTAATTAAAGATCTAGACCAATTGTTATCTGCTACTTCAAAATCCAAGATGGAGGAAGACACCCCAGCTAGCTTCATCGGCTGTCAAATACAATTCCGATATGATCATGTGACTAGTCGCAAATTTGAGTATGATTCTAAGATCAGTCACAATGTGAATATGGTTCTGTTACAAGTCACAGAAAAGTAGGTTCACGGAGGGTTAAAATAGTCCATAGGATGTTAATGTTTTTTTAATCAGGCGAAAATACTAAAATAAATCACATAGAAATAGTTGTGATTATAAATTACAAAGTAATGACCCCTTCTTTTATTCATTATTTGTGTTGTAATGCTGTTTAAGTCCAATTTTTAAAATAATAATAACAGTTTTTAGCATAGTGTACTTTGAATGCAACTCCTCAATGATACAGAATTTTGCTTGTGTCTATGGATTAAAAATAAACCTTTGCACTTTTTTTGTTACAGAACATTGTTATCGTAGACTGTAGCCAAAGTTTTCTTCAAGTTTTTAGATTCGTAAAATGCACAAATCGTCGTATTTTGACATCTTCAAAATAAGCTGACTTTGGAGCCTATAATGCAATTCTGATGGAAAGATTTGTTTTACCTAGCATTAAGCTTTTGAAATAGGTCTATTTAATAACCTTATTGCGGCCTTTTTATGTTTTTTGATGAAGTTGAAATTCAAGGCTATTGTTGAAATTGGAAAATGCACTGAAATTATCTTCAATGGCAATGAGACATTCAAGGCTATTTCATCACAAGACACCATGCCTCACTGGTACTATCACATTTCCATGCTAAGTGAACTGTGAAATCATGGTCAAAATTTTCACATAAAAAAACACAAGTATAAGGTTAAAAGTTGATGTGACCACAACTTCATGGTAAGCTATTCTAACTAAAAACTCATTCAACACAAAAATCAAAAGACACATAGAGGATTAAAATAAATACATTTAAGAAAAATCTAATTTTACGGAAATTAAAAAGGTTAGAAATAAATGTGTTCCAAAAAAAACCGCATTAAATTGTTTCAAATGCCTACCGACGGTTAAGGAGCGTGCTATTAGAAATAGGTATGTTGATGAGCTAGTTGTTGGCGAGAAGCGTGTCTTGTTAACTGAAATCATATAACCCGTTAAACTTAATACTAGTGGTTCGATACCGCTACTAGTGGACTGTTTGTCCCCGAAGGTATAATTCGCCTAGGAACCAATGTTTCGTTAATGGGATAATTATCATTAAAATGATAGATTTTTGTTTTACAAATTTCAGTTTATTTGACAATATAGGTTTACCTTATAAATGGAATGGCCAGCATGAAATACCTTATAATGATAGTCAAACAAAATTTATTAGATGCATTCTATCAAAATTGGTACTGTGACATTAGTTACAGGTGTACTTTATTTTTTTGTAAGACAAGAATTTGGGCTTCAAACATATCTATTAAGGGCAGTGTAGCCATCGTAGAACATCGGAATATAACGACTGAATTATTGGGGTTATAATAAGGTTATTTTTGAAATGTGTTTTCGGAGTTTGTTTTGTGAATAAAAAAATCAAAATAATCCATACTCAATCGACACGAATTGTATTATATATATGACCATAAAAAAACACTTACAAAAAGCCAGTAACATCCATCTCACAAAGCGTTAAATCATTTAGTAATTACGTTGTTTTCGTCGTTTCATTGCTAAAGCACTTTGGCATATTTTCAGAAACTTGCCAAGCAATAGACCATCCCAATTTTGCGCAAATTATCTGAAAGGAAAGATCATTTGTGTAAAACATTATTTGAAAATCATAGTACAAGTTTTGATGACAAAAGGTGTCGTGTCTTTGTTCTACAGCTTTAAGAAAGGAAATAAAAGTACATTATTTTGCTGTCTCCTCTACGTTCAAAATTATTTACACGGAACGAAGTCAAGATTATTTATATATTATATATATATATATTATAGGAAGATGGCTCAGGTGATAATTAAAGCTTGATTTGTACAGCAAAGACGTCCACTGAAGGAGAAGAATATTACCACTAGTGCAAGTGTAGATATTTGTTTCGGCAGATTGAAACCTATTACAGAGACAAGTTTTTTTCTGTAATGCAATTTTCCTGTTTTTCCTCACAAATTAGAATTTATAAATGAAAGCAGAAATAAGTGTTTTTTACTGGTTTACATTTCAATTCTAATTTCATATCTAGAAAAGGAAAATAGTAAGGTGTTTTGTTTTTTCGTCCAATACAACTTTAAAAAAAAATTATAACAGATTTACTTTTAATATTTACAAATACATTTTTGCATTGTAAAATTAAAAAAAACCCAAATCAGACAAATTGCATAACTGTAATTACTGTAAAGGATTACCTCATACTGTATGTTCATGTTTGATCATTTTTCACCATTTGTATTTCATTTGAGGCAACAAGCTCGATAAGTACCAATATTGTGTTCAGACGTGTAATTCACTGCCATTATAACATTTTCAACTGGTGCTTTTATATTCCTACGTGTTTATTCATTATCTAAGTTTATTTTATAACAGTTTTTACTTGTTGTGCATTATTGGGTTTGTTTTATATTGATAACCACATTATTAGAATATATATAGAAATAAGGATGCTGTCTGTAAGATATTAGGATACTAGTACTGAAGTGATGAATAATATTATTTCATTGAGTTCTCATTTAGAAAAAAGAAATAATGAGATCTTCGTTAAATGTGCTTGAGATAGCATTTTATTAATTACAAGAAAGAAAAAAAAACAGTTGAATTTTTTAATAAAACAAAATTAAATCTATCATAATTTATCATGTAAAAGTGCGGATAAAAACGTAATCAAATTTATCACAAATACGTTCGTGACTAGATATTCAGAATTAAAGCTTTTCTAGTTTATTATCAGGCCTGGTGTCACAAAGCACTCAGAAGACACCATTACCGTAAATATGTATCAATGATCACACGTGCAAAAGACTTATGATAACATTCTAAGAGGGACCAAAACATTACCATTTTAAGATGGGTTACGGGGGATAATTGTAAGGGAAAGTACTATTTCAGTCATATTCATGTCATGATTTAATCAGAAGAAGTACATTCTTCTGTAGTATAATTGCTAAGTAAAAAAAATTACTATTCAAAACGAAGAATTTTATGTTGTATTTTTTTTAAATATGCAAGTTTACATGGTTACTATAGATTTAGACAGGTTTGTCATTCCAATCTGGCATTTTTTATCAGACCATTTTATATCTTTTTTTTTCGCGAAGTGCTTATGTAAATACTACAATCATTGAATATTAGAAACGTTAATAAGCATTAGTTTTTGTATGTATGTGTATATATGATGTGTTATTATGTAGGCTTATGTGTGCGAATTTGTTTTTGTTATTTACAAACTGTACAAGTAATATACAGTTTTTATTTGTTAATTTCTCTTGAATGAAGTTTGTACTCACCTGATTGACACATGTTTATTTTAGTTACAGAAAAGGAGCAGTCCAGTCAGATTCATAGCTACATATGGATCAACATTGAAATTTCTTTACAAACAAAAAATACAAATTGGAAAAGCTGTATCCTGCATTGCAAACCATTTGGCAGTCATTACAAGCCCACAATATTTCCGAAAACCTTATCAAAATGATAACATTGTCAGGGATGAAATCATCCAATCAATTATTAATCGTGTAAACCATTATTATTGCTTAAAGTATATGGCATGTTTTTATGTTTTTTTTTCATTAATCAGTTTTATAATCTATGTTGTCTATACATGTCACAAATAATAAAATCTAATAGATTTCCTGTCTTCATTTTTTCTTATTTGTGATATAGTGTCTCCATTTTTTAAATAAAATTTAAAGATAAACCATGTTTAATTTAACTTTGTAAAAGCCAAACTAATACGTCGTTAGGATGTATTAATATTTTGTTTTACGTAGCTGTTTTGTTATCATGTTTATGCTGAAAATTCGGTAAAAGTATAAATTCCATTCGCACGGTTAGATGTAAGTTTACAATTTATTGAAATTGTTTGTGTTCTTAGTATCTTCGTTTGTAGTTTCTTTTTTCCAGTCCAATCATAGTTCCTTACTTTTCATATATCTTGTAAATTTACAGTTTCATGTCTTGTGACTCGAGCATATAACATCCACCATTAAAAATATGTGCTTTTGGAGGACCGAGTTATCTCCTTTTTCGTCATCAAAAATAGAAAGTTTTAATATCATTAAAAGTATCAAATGCTGGGAAATCAACAATTAATGAAACGATTATGCAATATACATGTACAGGTAGGGATTTCACGTCATGAATTAACACAGCATATCCTTTCTTTTTCCGTATGTTTTACAGAGGCTAGGATGTAAAAATATTTTCCAAACTTGAGGTGTATGCTCTTATTACAGTTATGGCGTTTTTAACTTCCTCAGTGTATTTCTTTCGGTAAGTTCGTTTATCGAAGTTGTTGCACAGTCCACTCGAATGATTTGCACCATTATGTCTAGGTCTTGATGTGCACTGTGGTTGTCTTTATGCTATATTGTTTCTGATTTATTATTTAGATTTCTTTGTCTGATCATTTTTATAATTTGTTGATATTACTTCGTAGCTTTGTTCTTCAATGCACAGATGTAGCGTGATTGACATCTAGCAAATAATTCCTCTCAAACCGATCATAGGGCGCGTCTTGCAGTGAAGTGTCAGCCTTTTCTCCACGTTGAAGGCCTCACTTTGACTCTGAGGTGAAGAACAGCAATAGAAGCGTCGTTTCATTGCTTTTGATTTTGTCTAGTGCGTGTATGAATTTTGTGTTATAAATAAAAGCAAAGTCCCTTTTCCCAAAAATTTGCATTTGTATTTACGGCAATGATTACCCAGCAGTCACAAAAAATAGAGTGTTCGAAGATAAACCGACTGTGCGAGGGCTCAGCCTGTATAGCCAGTCAAGGTCGTTAAACACAACCATCACCATCAACATTAAAAATGCAAACGATCCATTTCAATTTTACAATCACTTATGCTATTGTATCAAAGCTTGTTATATGCAGCATTACTTTATATAAATTAGAACTTTTGTAACCAGTAATCATATGAAGTTTATTGTCCATTTTTTTTTTATATTAATCACACTTAAAAAAATACCCCAAAAATAATGCAAGGAAAAAATAAATTAAACGTTGTTTAACACCTCCTTTTAGTCATAAAGACGAAAATATGCATGGCATATTTGCCACTGGGTATTAGTTCAGAAAACAACAACCAATCGATCATGGAGGCTATATGAATAGAACTCCTTTAATGTCACTTATTCGGGAATGGCTTATCTACTGTAAGTTAATGAGGGAATTTTATGAAGAAAAGATAAACTCAATATTAGTCATACAAATATATTCGGTGTTGACCTGAATTATTATTGACATTGTCAAAATTGTAAATTAATTGCTTACAAAACTTTGAATTTTTCGAAAAACGAAGGATTTTCTACCGCAGGAATAGATTACTTAAGCTGCATTTGTCAAAACCTTTCGGAATTTTGGGTCCTCAATGCTCTTCAACTACGTACTTTATTGAACCCTTTTTATTTTTTTTATTCTAGTGTCACTTGTGAGTCTTTTGAAGACTTTTGTGAGTCTTTTGCTTATAACTGCATGCTTACATTCTTTTGGGCTGCAAAATTTTGATCCTTGTGTTACTGATGAGTAGAATAAAATTGAGAATGGGAACGGGGATTGTGTCATAATAATGAGTGTTTATATTACAAAACTGGAGTGGCTGTATTTGTTCAGTTATAATGTGAACTAAATTACGTCCAGTCTAAAATTAATTTACTGCATGGTATGCACACAAAAAGCATATTGGCAAATATACTTTGCACAACCTCTTATTCTGTAACAATAAAGAAAAAAAAAATAATTACGATCAACGTTTGTGTATACCACAATGTAAATGTGATATATACTAGTTACATGTATTCCTATTGTCTTCATGTCATAGAAGTGACTATGGAGGATCTTCTGCGTTATCTCTATTCCTACTTTTATATTATCCACAGTTCAAAATTCAGGATAGCGTAAGGTATACTATGTCTGACATACGGAAGTTTATTGTGTTTCTTATTTTACCAATATCCCTTGGACAGGAGCTGCTACAGAACCCAGACTTTGAAAATGTAAATTCTATTTCTCCATGGATATGTAACGAATGTAATGCTGCCATTATTCCTGATTATTATCATGGCAATTCGAGTGTTCATGTTTCGGGAAGGTTTGTATGATCATTTTAGGATAGTTTTCTCCACAAGCGGTGTAAGCTACATCATGAAAAAGCCCATTGATGCTTTGTAATGCCATTAATCCAATGGGACTTGATACACTATGTTGGAAAGAAATTGTCATTGCGTTATACTTGAGAACAAAGGAATCAACAATGAAAACGTCAACAAAACAAACGAGTTGCAATCCAAAATAAATTCATAAATTCCATTGTTATTGAACATGGTTATATATACAATATATGTCCATGTCTAATATTTCATTATGATATGTATAGTGCTGAGCAATACTTCTCAAAAATGTTATCCTTTTGTCTAGTTAGTCTGCTTTGACAAAATATAATTTATTTAAAATACACCAAACTGATCTACAAAAATGATGATTATTCAATAAATAGCAATGAACTAGCTTTCATTAAGAACTACTCTACCAAAAATTGTTATTGGCCGAATTTCTAGCATATTTGCCCTAGTTAACTACGAAAAGAGTAAATTAATCTCTTGTTTACTTGTCTCCATTGTCCCCGTCAATGTTCAACGATTCTTTATTACAATTACCTTGCTTCATTTAGGTTGTGATACCATCATTCTCAGAACCTACAGCGAGGTAGATAGAATAACACTAGGTTTTCACAAATTCAGATTGTTATTGCATTTAATAACTTCATCGGAATAGATGATCAGATCGGATATATTGATTTTATTTTGTTAAATATAACACCTACACTAAAATATAAGAGTTAACACATGATTTATTGAATTTTGAAAAATGAAACAAAATATGAGAGACACACTTTTAGAGTATAATAAAAAAGAGTGTTTTATTTCTCTTGTCTTCTTGATTCTTGATATATCATTACATAATAGGTTAGTATACAGTAAATTATCAGAGGAACGTCCCTCCTCCCCAACATAATTAGATTTATTTGAGTTCTAGGAATAGATCAAACACTTTGCTTAAAAGAAAAAAACTTATCTACTGCATAATTAGATAATAAATATCTTCATTCGTTAAACTAGACTCAAGCTGGCAGCCACTTTTAGCAGCCAATCAAGATAGCAGCCACTTTTTTCCAGCAGCCAATTTTGATGATATCTCTAAAAACCCAAAAACTATAACAGACTCGAATGTTCCAAAAATCTCAAAATCTAAGTTAAATGTAATTTAAGAGCGGAATTCGACAATTTCACGGCTTGTAGTGATTCTCAAAGGATTTTTTCGTTTTAAATACCAATAATGATAGCAGCCACTTTTTTTTCGAAATTATAGCTACCAATACGATATGTATTATTTTTTAACGTCTAAATGACCACAGATGTTCAGCCTTAGAAGTGAACGTTGAACAAACCAACACAAATGACGTCAGTAACTGAAAGCACTCACTAGCTTGATTTCTAAATCCGGCATATTGGTGTCAATGTGTATAGAAATATCTAGTTTCTGCATAACTAATATATGTGCAGTTAGCCGCCGGTTCGATATTCTATATCCAACTAGCTGTGAGCAGTCGGTTCAATATTCAAACTTATTTGAAAATCATAAAAAATTGAGAGTTAAGAGGAGTGCCAAAAATTCATTTCAGTGTGGCCTTCCCCAAGTTATTACCTTTCATTTGAGCCATGTCCGGTGGCGAACTTTACCGTACAGCGCTTGCGAGGCTTACCGAAAGAATATAGGGTGTATACATATTTTTTTCCTTAACAGCAACTTTGAACCCCAACAATTTCCGAATGGGCCTAACTCCCAAAAATTCATTTCAGTGTGGCCTTCCCCAAGTTATTACCTTTCATTTGAGCCATGTCCGGTGGCGAACTTTACCGTACAGCGCTGGCGAGGCTTACCGAAAGAATATAGGGTGTATACATATTTTTTTCCTTAACAGCAACTTTGAACCCCAACAATTTCCGAATGGGCCTAACTCCCAAAAATTCATTTCAGTGTGGCCTTCCCCAAGTTATTACCTTTCATTTGAGCCATGTCCGGTGGCGAACTTTACCGTACAGCGCTGGCGAGGCTTACCGAAAGAATATAGGGTGTATACATATTTTTTTCCTTAACAGCAACTTTGAACCCCAACAATTTCCGAATGGGCCTAACTCCCAAAAATTCATTTCAGTGTGGCCTTCCCCAAGTTATTACCTTTCATTTGAGCCATGTCCGGTGGCGAACTTTACCGTACAGCGCTGGCGAGGCTTACCGAAAGAATATAGGGTGTATACATATTTTTTTCCTTAACAGCAACTTTGAACCCCAACAATTTCCGAATGGGCCTAACTCCCAAAAATTCCTTTCAGTGTGGCCTTCCCCAAGTTATTACCTTTCATTTGAGCCATGTCCGGTGGCGAACTTTACCGTACAGCGCTGGCGAGGCTTACCGAAAGAATATAGGGTGTATACATATTTTTTTCCTTAACAGCAACTTTGAACCCCAACAATTTCCGAATGGGCCTAACTCCCAAAAATTCATTTCAGTGTGGCCTTCCCCAAGTTATTACCTTTCATTTGAGCCATGTCCGGTGGCGAACTTTACCG